GCCTCTGCCGCATCTGCTCCCAGGATGAGGTATTTCACTCCCGTACATCTCAGTTGTCCTCGTTTTTCAAGGACCGCAACTTCCCCCACTCAGTGGTCGAGAACGCCCTCAACCGTGTCTCCCACATTTCCCGCAACTCATCCCTCACACCCCGTCCCCACAATAACAACCAAAAAAGAATCCCCCTTGTCCTCACGTACCACCCCACCAACCTCCGGATCCAACGCATCATCCTCCAACACTTCCGCCATCTGCAATCTGACCCCACCACCAAAGATATCTTTCCCTCCTCACCCTTATCTGCTTTCTGGAGGGACCACTCTCTCTGTGACTCCCTTGTCCGCTCCACACTCCCCTCCAGCCCCACCACACCCGACACTTTTGCCTGCAACCGCAGGAAGTGCTACACCTGCCCCTACACCTCCCCCCTCACCCCCATCCTAGGCCCCAAGAAGACTTTCCACATCAAGCAGATGTTCACCTGCACATCTGCCAATGTGGTATACTGCATCCGCTGTTCCCGTTGTGGCCTCTTCTACATCGGGGAAACGAAGTGGAGGCTCGGGGACCGCTTTGCAGAACACCTACGCTCGGTTCGCAATAAACAACTGCACCTCCCAGTCGCGAACCATTTCAACTCCCCCTCCCATTCCTCAGACGACATGTCCATCCTGGGCCTCCTGCAGTGCCACAACGATGCCACCCGAAGGTTGTAGGAACAGCAACTCATATTCCGCTTGGGAACCCTGCAGCCCAATGGTATCAATGTGGATTTCACAAGCTTCAAAATCTCCCCTCCCCCTCTTGCATCCCAAAACCAGCCCAGCTCCTCCCCGCCTCCCTGACCTGTCCTTCCTCCCACCTATTCCATCCTCCTACCTCAAGCCGCACACCCACCTCCTACCTACTAACCTCATCCCGCCCCCTTGACCTGTCCGTCCTCCCTGGACTGACCTATCCCCTCCCTAACTCCCCACCTACACTCACCTTTACTGGCTCCATCCCCGCCTCTTCGACCTGTTTGTTTCCTCTCCACCTATCCTCTCCTCTATCCATCTTCTATCCGCCTCTCCCTCTCTTCCTATTTATTTCAGAACCTTCATCCCCTCCCCCATTTCTGATGAAGGGTCTTGGCCTGAAACGTCAGCCTTTCTGCTCCTATGATGCTGCTTGGCCTGCTGTGTTCATCCAGCTCTGCACCTTGTATAGTGTTATGGTGACTGTTGTCCTGAAGGCTAGGTCGTTTGCTGCAAACACTGTTCTGTTTGAGGTTTTGTGATTGTCTGAAGGTGAGAAGTGTTGGTGTGGGGAAGATCTTGGTGAGGTGCTCATTGTCATCGATAATGTGTTGAAGGCTGTAAAGAACAAGGCATAGTTTCTCTGCTCCCAAGAAGTATTGAACCATATCCCTGGACTGTCTTTTGAGGAGGTCATTACGGTTTTTCACTGTGGCACACCGGAACTGGCAATTGATGAGTTAAGCATCATATCCTGTTCCTGTGAGGACAATTTCAACACCTTCAGGTGTCTGTCTCATTCCTCTTCATTCGAACAGTTCCTGTGTACGCTTAGGGCTTGTCCATAGGGGATGATTATTTTAATATGTTTAAGGTGGAAGCTGGAGAAATGCAGCATGTGAGGTTATCTGTGGGCTTGTGGTAGAGTGAGGTACAGAGGTGTCTGTCCCTGTTAGGGATGTGTGTGTCGAACAGTGAGACTGATTCTAAAGAGTAGTCCATGATAGGGTACCCTTCATCGTCCAGTAGTTCCTCGGAGCAGAGAAACCACGCCATGTTCTTCGCAATTATTGATGATGATGAGCACCTCGCCAAGATCTTCCCCACACCTCCACTTCTCGCCTACACACACACACAGTGGCTTAGTGGTATTAATCCAGAGACCCAGATAATGTTCTGGAGACCTGATTTTGAATCCCACCATGGCAGATGGTGGAATTTCGGAATTTCAATTCAATAAATATCTGGAATTAAGATTCTAATGAATCCATTGTCGATAGTTGGAAAAACCCACCTGATTCACTAATGTCCTTTAGGGAAGGAAACTGCCATCCTTACCTGGTCTGGTCTACATGTGACTCCAGACCCACAGCAATGTAGTTGACTCTTAACTGCCCTCTGGGCAATTAGGGATGGGCAATAAATGCTGCCTAGCCAGCAGTGCCCTCATCCTGTGAATGAATAAAGAAAAAAAAAACACGCAGCACACACACGTGAGTCTATGTGGTGAATTTGTATTTGCAGATACATTCTATTTTCAAAAAACACAATTTATAGACAGTCAGTCAATGTGGCGTTTTATAAATTCCTACTCTCGAAGCAAAACCAATCTGACTCCAACCAAAACACAAACAGATTCTAAACAAGGTCTCACACCTAACATGCCTTATTTAAACCTAAAATGTCACCTTTTCTTTACACTGATAAAACCTTTAGTTCTCTCAGGATAGCAGCTTAAAAGGAATTCGGGATTTACATATACATGTTAATCAATTAAAAATTTCCAACTGATTAATGACTTAACAGCACCTCAGGTTTGTTTAATACATCCTGGTCAGTGGTGTGACTCTTTGCTCTTATAAATTCTGTTGCTGATACTACCTCTCTCACTAACACCTGAAGGAGTGGCTCCGAAAACTTGTGTTTTCAAATATACCTGTTGGATTATAACCTGGTGTCGTGTGAATTCCAAACTTGTTCACCTGGTCCAACACCGGCACTTATAAATCATGAACCCTATCAAGTTTCACAACATCCTTCCTGTGGCTGGGAGATCAGAATTGAACACAGTATTCCAAAAATGGCCTAACCCATGTCCTGTATGACCGCAACATGACATCCCAACTCCTGTACTCAATGCACTAACCAATAAAGACAAGCATACCAAATGCCTTCTTCACTATCCTATCTACCTGGGACTTCACTTTCAAGGAACCATGAACCTGCCCTCCAACGTCTCTTTGTTCGACAACACTTCCCAAGACCTTACATTACATTTGTACATTCTGCCCTGATTTGCCTTACCAAGATGCAGCACCTCACATTTATCTAAATTCAATTCCACCTGCTACCCCTTGGCCCATCAGCCCATCTGATCCAGGTCATTTACACTCTGAGATAAATTTTTTGATTGTCTACCACACGACCAATTTTGATGACATCTGTAAACATATTAACCATTCCTCTTATATGAACACCCAAATCATTTACGTAAATGCCAAAAAGCAGTGGACCCAGCACCGATCCCTGTGGTGCGCCACTGGTCACAGGCCTACAGTCTGAAAAACAACCCTCCTCTACCACCCTTTGTCTTCTACCTTTGAGTCAATTCTGTATCCAAATAAAAACTAAAAGAACTGCGGATGCTGTAAATCAGGAACAAAAACAAAGCTGCTGGAAAAACTCAGCTGGTCTGGCTGCATCTGTGAAGGAGAAAACAGAGTTAACGTTTCAGGTCCGGTGACCCTTCCTCAGAACTCATTCTGAACTAGTTCTGAGGAAGGGTCACCGGACCCGAAACGTTAACTCTGTTTCCTCCTTCACAGATGCTGCCAGACCTGCTGAGCTTTTCCAGCAACTTTGTTTCTGTATCCAAATAGTTAGTTCTCCATGTATTCCGTGAGATCTAACCTTGCTAACCAGTCTGCTATGAGGAACCTTGTTGAACTCCTTACTGAAGTCTAAATAGATCACATCCACCGCTCAGCCCTCATCAATCCTCTTTGTTACTTCTTCAAAAAGCTCAATCAAGTTAGTGAGACATGATTTCCCATGCATACAGCCATGCTGACTGTCCCTACTCAGTCTTTACCTTTCTAAAATGTAAATTCATCAGATTAATATGCAGTTTTACTTGGCAAATGCAATGTGCATATTCATTTTGCAAGGGCTAGAATACAAGAGCAGGAATGTACTGCTAAGGTTGTATAAGGCTCTGATCAGACCACATTTGGAATATTGTGAGCAGGTTTGGGCTTTGTACCTAAGGAAGGATGTGCTGACCTCGGAAGGGTTCCAGGGTAGGTTTAAAAGAATAATCACGGGAATGAAGGGCTTCTTATTATGAGGGGTGGTTGAAGACTCTGGGTTTGTACTTGATGATATTGAGAAGGATGAGGGGGGGATCTGATTCAGACTTACAGAGTTCGGAGAGACCTGGATAGAGTCAATGTGGAGAAGATGTTTTCACTAGTGGGAGAGACTACGACCCGAGGATACAGTCTTAGAGTGAAAGCATGACCCTTTAGAACTGAGATGAGGAGGAATTTCTTCAACCAGAGGGTGGTAAATCTGTGGAACTCATTGGCACAGAGGGCTGTGGAGGCCAAGTCATTGAGTGTAGTTAAGACAGAGATAGATAGGTTCTTGATTAGTAAGGGGATCAAAGGGTTACAGGGAGAAGGAAGGAGAATTGGGTTGAGAGACCTATCTGCCATAATTGAATGGTAGATCAGATTTGATGGGCTGAATGGCCTAATTCTTCCCTCTACCTGATGGTCTTATATCCAGAGCAATTTCAAATGTCCTGTCCCTTGATCTCATACCAGCAATTGAGGGGGAAGGGACAGGATAATGGGGGCTAGGTTGCCCTTTGCAAATCTGTCATACACAGTGGCAACTGTATCTATTAACGTACAACTATCTTCATCTTATTAGCATGTTCACATCTGGGACTGAAACACAACTAGTGTACTTTACACCTATCAGCAGAAAGTCAGGAGATATGCAAGTTCCGATGGAGACACCGAGGAAGGTCTTCATGCTGCAATAGTTACTCCCATACTCAGTGCAATGTGATTCTCAAACTGGGAAGAAATGAGGGAGGTAGGGAGTGACAGAGGGAGTGAGAGACTGAGTGAGGGAGGGAGCAGAGGAGTGAGTGAGTGAGGGGGAGAGTGTGAGGAAGGGAATGAGTGAGTGAGTGAATGACTCAGTGCATGAACAGAGCTGCATATTGATTAAAGATATTCCTGTTTTTCACTTCACACAGCTCCATCACCTGAGACAAAAGGAACTGAAACAAGCATCACCCCGCTGCCAAATACTACCCAAACATCAGGTAAGATATCTCCCGCAAAGCATCTTACCACTTAATTGTAATTTCCTTCTTACTCCTGGGATGTGGGCATCGCTGGCTGGATCAGCATTTATTGCCTGTCCCTAGTTGCCCTTGAGAAAGTGGTGGTGAGCTGCCTTCTTGAACTGCTCAGTCCATGTGCTGTGGGTTGACCCACAATGCCATTAGGGAGGGAATTCCAGGATTTTGATCCAGCAACAGTGAAGGAACAATGATATATTTCTAAGTCAGGATGGTTAGTGGTTTGGAGGGGAACTTGAAGTTGATGGTGTTCCCATATGTCAGCTGCCCTTGGCAGAGGGAGAGTCAACCACATTGCTCGGGGTCGAGAGTTGCATGTAGGCCAGACCAAGTAAGGATTGCAGATTTCCTTCCCTAAAGCACATTAGTGAACCAGGTGGGATTTTCCTAATAATCGGCAGTGGTTTCATGGTCATCATTAGACTCCTAATCCCAAATTTCAGTGTCAAGCCTCTTGTGCGTTATTGGAGCTACACCCTCTCCAGGCAAGTGGGGAGTATTCCATCACACTTCTGACTTGTGCCTTGTTGATGGTGGACAGGCTTTGGGGAGTCAGGAGGTGAGTTACTCACCGCAGTATTCCTAGCCCCTGACCTGCTCTTGTAGCCACTGTGTTTATGTGGTGAGTCCAGTTGAGTTTCTGGACAATGGTAATCCCCAGGATGTTGATAGTGGGGGATTCAGTAATGGTAACACTCTTGAATGTCAAGGGGTGGTGGTTAGATTGTCCCTATTGGTGATGGTCATAGCCTGGATTTGTGTGGCGCAACTGATTGAAATATCAGGTGATCTTGCTGGCAATGTTTCTATTGGTTAAACCTCACAATATTTCGAACTCAGGTCACAGTGACCTTTTTCAGAATTATGTGCTGGATGTTCTGGCGAGTGTCACTGTGATTAAGATTTAGTGTTCAGGGTCTTGGTTCAGCTGTAAGTTGAGTTGGATCAGGGCAGTAAAGGGTGTAGAAATGATATCTGCTGACAGTGGGAGAACTGTGCTTTGTCAAGGCCAGAGCAGGATCTCGTTGTAATCACAGAAGCTCAGTGCTGATTGAAAAGAACTCCAACACCCCCTTGTTTCCCCCAGTACCTGTAAGCGACTAGTCATCAGGTTTTAATCTCAGTACCTCACCTCCTGACTTCAGGAAGATGCCTCTGGAATCTGTAAATGGCTCCAGGTGGCAGCCATCAGTATCAGTCTCATTCAGATGGGTTCCCCGTTTCTCTCGCAACTGGATCCCAGCAATGTGAGCCAGAGGTGGGACGAGGTTGAGTAGCTAACCCAACACATTTCCATTCATTAGTTCACTTCCCTCTCCAATCCCAACCTGGCTCCAGTATGTTAAAATGGCTGGCCATATGTGAATGAGATGGAGGGATGAAATGTGACCAGGAGGGAAACGAGGAGCACAATATGAGTTAAAGGGGACAATAGGTATGGATACTGTTTGGGAGTGGGGTTGCCTGGTTATTGGAGACGTCAAGTGGGATAGCGCGTGGAGGTTGATATATTTCTGTGGGCTGGGGAAGTGTCTATTGTCTTTAAAAGACAAAGCGTTTGTTGACTTCAGAAAATTTTCTGAAGAAGGGTCTAGCCCTGAAATGTCAGCTTTCCTGCTGCTTAGCCTGCTGTGTTCATCCAGCTCTACACCTTGTTATCTCAGATTCTCCAGCATCTGTAGTTCCTACTATCTCCGGCCGACAGCCAAGTCCCACTTGTTCCTGAGGCGTACGATAACATCTCCTCACAGGTTACTGAGCAAAATATCTGAGGCACTGGGCTGGTCTCGTGTTGAGTGCTGTGTGCTGTCTGTTATCTAATTTCCTTTGGAGAATGACTGCTGCAGATAGAGTCTCGGTTCTTGAGGGGGTGTGCTATAAACTAACCTATTCTTCCTTCTTGCAGATACATTCAGTGCCTATTCTTGGATTGTGCCAATGGTTGTGTTATTTCTGTTCCTGTTGCCCCTGACTGGTTTCCTGGTGAGGTTTCTGATGAAGAAGGGATTGATATGCACTAGAGCAAGGAAAACAACTTCGACAACAGAGGCATTGTCTGCTCTAAGGTAAGGATCTCTATAATTCCACACAGACAGTTACCCAAGGCTGGGATCGAACCCAGGTCTTTGCCACTGTGAGGCAGCAGTGCTAATCACTGAGCCACTGCAGTGAGAGGGTGGAAAGCGTTGATGTACAAAGGGACCCGGGTATCGTTGCCGATAAGTCACTGAAGGCTAACATGCAGGGGCAGCAGGTTATTTGGAAGGTGAATGGAGGTTAGCCTTGATCATGAGAGGATTTGGGTACAGGACAGCTGGCCATCTTGTTTCAATTGCACAGGAGCTCGGTTAAACTGCACCTGGAGTTCTGTATGCAATTTTGGTTTCCCTCTCTCAGGAAAGATATTAGTGCCTCAGAGAGTGTAATGGAGGTTCTTCAGACTCTTTCCTGGGATAATGGGACTTTCTATGAAGAGTGATTGAACAAACTGGGCCTGTATTCTTTAGACTTTTGAAGAATGAGATGTGTTCTTATTGAGGTACAATTTAAAATAAAACAAACAGTACTGGAGAAACTCAGGGGTTTCAATATCTCTCATTAAAAGCCATGTCTTTGTGTGCTGTAGGAGATAACTCTTGGGCCGTGAGCACCACTTCAGTCATAATGAGGTTTCCTTTGTTTAGAACCACCTGGGTGGACACATTCTCTGTTGCTGCTTTGTGCAGGTTTTACTGTAATGTTCCAACAAATAGGAAATGTAAGTATCCAAAGAGATGATGAGTTACCTTTCGTTCTGGTAATTCTAGAACATTTCTAGAAGGAACCAACTTGCTTATTCCATGTTCAATCACAACAAGAGTTGACTTTCAAAATTAACCGGAAAGTATAGTTCTAAAGAGTGCAATTTAGGGCCTGTCTTCACACCTTGTGATGATGGCAGACACCTGGCACCTGTACTGAAGGAAGGGTAAACTCCTTCTTTGTTTTGCAATCTATTCATATGGGAGGTGTTTAACTGGTATGACTCGAGCACCATCCTGCAGGATAAAGACCAGCCAGGGAGAAACCAGGCATAGGAGCAGGCCATTCAGCCCCTTAAGCCTACTCCAGCATTCAATATGTTCAATAGTTGATTGGCTCTGATCAGTTGGCAGCTACACGACTGTTGAATCATAATCTGCCTTGCTAGCTATGTTGAACCTTCAGTTGGGATCCAATTGAAGAATTCTGTTGTGTTCTATATGGTGGGTATTATCAGCAGAGACCTGGGCAGCCAGAGATTGAACCTCCTAGCCTGTGTCCTGTGACCCACCCTGTGGTTGAAATCTGGGCTACATCCAGATGGCAAGCTGTTATTTCCTGTAATTTTGTTCTGTGTGGGCAGGCTTACTGCCAGAAACCCACATTGGCACATCAGGAGCAAACTGCAGTTCTCACAGCAGGTTCACTAGGTTGATTCCTGTTGTAAGGGCTGTTGTACAAAGGGCGGTTGAATAGCTTGGGCTTGTGCTCGCTGGAGTTCAGAAGAATGAGGGGGAAATCTGATCGAGGTATATAAACACTAAAGGAGATTGATAAAGTGGATGCTGAACAGATGTTCCCTTTGTGGGACAGTCTCAAACAAGAGATTATAAATATAGAGTGAGAGGAGATAGGTTCAAATCTGAAATGGGGAGAAACTACTTCTCCCAGTGGGTTACAAATCTGTGGAACTCACTGTCCCAGAGTGCAATGGAGGCAAAATCAATCAACAGATTCAAGAAAAAAATAGATATGTTTCTGATGAAAAGTAGGATAAAGGGCTATGGGGAATAGGCAGGAGAGAGAACTTGAGACCAGGAGAAGATCAGCCACGATCATGTTAAATGGCAGAGTGGGCTCGAAGGGCTGAATTGCCTGCTCCCAATCCTAATTCCTACATTCATAAACTGTGCACAGTCTTTCAAATTTAATATAAATAGTTGTGAAAACATGTTCAGAACCTACCAAATTCCAGCATGCGCTTTGTAGTTTGGAACAATAGCACATCTTCTGAAAATGAGGTGGGACACAGGAGACACAATTCTTACTTTGCTCCAAAGGCATTGCCCTGCATCACTACAAGAACTCTCAAAGCTCAATATAATTAGGGGTGGGCAATAAATGTTGCCTGGCAATGGGCAAATCCCAAGACAAAATGAAAACCAACACAATACTATCAATAAAGAAAGAGCAAGATTGTTCAGTCTACAGCCAGCTCAAAGTGATTTCTTCTTCATTTAGAACAGACATTGACCTCTCCACAAGACTACAAGATCCACTTCCAAATACCGCAGTCTGACAGTCTGACCAGGTGAGTAATTGAATTTCTCATACACAATGACTAACAGCAAGGCATCAAAGACAAATGGTCAGGGATGATGTATCCCATATTTACTGTATATTGCAGAGTGATGTTGAAAAGAAGTTCAGCTTCTGCGTCCAGTTGTTTGAGTCTTTGACCCCAGTGCTCTTCTCTTGGACAGTAAAATGTTCACACAGAAGGACAAAGGGAGCATCTGTATGAGACTGTACCACCTCAAAATATCCAACCAATCCCACTATCACATGGAAATCTATCCAAATTCTCCAATCAGTACCACAGACTGACCTTCCACACCAACAGCGCCGGCATGCACACATTCTGACATTTCATCATTTAGCAGTAAGGTTGCGTGTTACTGAAGTTCCTATGACAGCTGATACATGCGAATACCACCCACTGTCACTGGGTCAAAATCCTGGAATTCCCTTCCTAAGGGCATTGTGAGTCTACCTCTAGCAAATGGATTGCAGCAGTTGAAGAAGGCAGCTCACCATTACTTTCTCAAGGGCAACTAGGGACCGGCAATAAATGTTGCCCAACTCTCATGAACAATTAATTTTAAAAATTATTTTAGAATTCGTAACTAAGGCCCTTAATGGGGCAAACCTAACCCTTACCAACTTTAAAAAAAAAGCTTGTTATTTGAAAGGTGCTCTCCACAGTGCAAGGGAGCAGCAAGAGAATAGAGAGGGAGAAAGAAATGCAAAAACAGTGCATTCTCTTTCAAACATTAAAACCTTTTCTTCTCTCCACAGATTCAGACATCTGTCGGCCAATAATTATCTTATGACTGTATGTTTCCACTGTCTGTATCTGTCTATATTCTGCGTATGATCCTGTAATGAGAAGCTGGTTGTTTGTGGGGAATGGTACAGATTGGAGATAGCAGACTGAGCACAATGCTTATGAATCTGAATGAAGAACTAAATCTGCTGTTGGATCACAGTGAGGACAACAGAGTCCCTCTAAGATTTGATGTAATCCATTGAGCAGTTCTTTCACTTCATTGATGAAACATGGTACTATTGAGACAGTGAATTCCCTGCATTCCCTAGCCTCCATTTCTTACTCCACAGGAAATACTGACACAATTTTAGGAGAGGAGAGGAGAGGAGAGGAGATGTCTTCTTCTGGCCATTTTGAGAGGGCTGCTTTGTGTTTGAAGTGTTGCTATAGGCCTAAGTGAGGGTGAATTCTGGGGAGGTGGGTGGCAACAACAAGGTATGGGCAAGGTAAGACCTTTTATTTTCCCTGAGTGCTATTTGTTAAAGAGGCAGAGTTGGCAGTCAGTGGAGTGGTACGATCCTGCTGTCAGATATGGGAGATTAGGAGCAGTTGTGTTCCTGGTGACTATGTCTACAGGAAGTGTCTGGCTGCAGCTACTCTCAGACTACATGGATTAGTTGGAATGGCTGTTGGAAGCAATAAGGAGCACACACAGGAGGCAGAGAGTGTGATAGATAGTAGCTTCAGGGAGATGGTTCGACCACAGGATTAGCCATTTGGATGAGTGACTGCCAGGATAAGTAGGCATGTAGTGCAGGTATCTCTTGCGGCCAGTCCCCCCTCAGAAGTATATTGTTGGAGGATAGCCTCTCAGGAGAAAACTGTAGCAGAGCCAGTTTTTTGACATCATGACTGGCTCTACTATAAAGCAAGATATGGCAAAGTCCAAGCAAGCAGTTGTGATCAGGGATTGCCTTGTCAGGGGCACAGGGATGTTTCTGTAGTTATGAATGATACTCCAGGATTGTGTGTTGCCTACCTGGTGCCAGCGTCAGGCAGTTGTAGTGAATTCTCAAAGGAGAATGTGAGCAGTCAGAGGTAATTATACACATTGGTGCCCATGACATTGGTAGAAAAAGGATGAGCTCCTGTGGAGTGAATGTGAGGAGTTTAGCAAGAAGTTAAAAAGCAGGACCTCAAGGGTAGTAATTTCTTGATTACTCATGGTGGCTCTTGCAAGTGAGAGTAGGAATAGGAGTATAGGGCTAAGGAGCTGGTACAGGGGTCAGGGATTCAGATTTTTGGATTATTGGGATCTCTTCTGGATAGAGGTGACCTGAACTCGGGAGGAGGACCAATATCCTGGTGGGGAGATTAGCTAGAGCTACCTGGGACTAAACAAGTCTGGCTTGGGAGTGGGATCCTAAACAGTAGTGAGATGGAGAGCAGGTCAAGGCTGATAGGGGTTAGAGAGAGCAAGTTAAATAGATAAGGCAGACAAGAGCATAGCTGGGAGCGAGGGAAAACTGATGAATTAAACTGCATTTCTTTCAATGCAAGAGTCCTGATAGGAAAGGCAGATGAACTTGGGGCATGGATGGGAACGTGGGACTGGCACATCCTAGCTATGACAAACACGCAGCTGAGGAAGGTGGCTCAATGTTCCAGGGTTTAAAAACAAGAGAGGAGCAGGAGTAGCAGTTTTGATCAGGACAAACATCAGGGCAATACTGAATGATATCCTGGAGGCATTGTCCAGTGAGGCTGTATGGGTAGAACTGAGAAATAAAAAAGGCAGATCACTTTGAGAGGAGGAAACAGCAGATAGCTGTAAGAATATAAGGATTGTAATAGTAAGGGATTTTCACTTGTCTAACATAGACTGGGACTGCCATTGTGTTAATGGTTTGGATGGGTATGAATGTGATGGGAATGAATTTTTTTTCTCAATCAATATATAGATGGTCCTAATAGAGAAGGGGCAAAACACCACTTCCTCTTGGCAAATAAGGCAGGGCAAGTAACTGAGGTGATAGTGGGGGAACACTTTGGGACCAGTGTCCAGATTGCATTGGTTTTAAAATCCTTATGGAAAAGGACAGATTTGGTCCGCAAGTTAAAGTTCTAAACTGGGGCAAGGCCAATTTTGATGGTATTAGACTGGAACTTTCAGAATTTGTTTGGGGGAGGCTGTTTGCGGGTAAGTGGCAGGCTTTCAGAAATGAGATAACGAGAGTTCAGGTACAGCATGTTCCTGTTAGAGTGAAGGGCAAGGCTGGCAGGAGTAGGGAACACTCTATAACAAGAGATATTGAGGCTCTAATCAACAAAAAGGCATGACAGGTATAGGCAGCTGGGATCAAGTAAATTCCTTGAGGAATACACTTAAAGGAAAATCAGGAGGGCAGAAAGGGGACATGAGATAGCTTTGGCAGGTAAGGTAAAGGAAAATCTAAAGAGATACTACATTTATCTTAAGGGCAAAAGAGTAACTAGGAGAAAAGAGGGCCCCTTAAAGATCAACAAGGCCATCTGTGTGAAGCCACGGGAGATGCTGAATGAATATTTCTCATCAGGTTTTTGCCATGGAGAAAGTGATGAAAGTTAGGGAAATAAATAGTGCTGTCTTTAGAAGTCCCATTACAGAAGAGGTGCTGGAGGCCTGAAAATGCAGAAAGGTATATAAGTCTCGGTAACCTGATCAAGTGTATCACAGGAGATTGTGGGAAGCTGAGGAAGAAATTGTGGTGCCCTAGTGGAGATAGTTGCATCATTGACAGGCACAGATGGGGTGCTGGAAGATTGGAGGTTTGAAGAGGTTACCAAGAAGACAGATGAAGGCAGAGTGATAGATGTTGTGTACATCGACTTTAGCAAGACTTTCAACAAGGTTCCGCATGGTAGACTGGTTAGCAAGGTTAGATCAGGTGGGATCCAGGGAGAAATAGCCAATTGGATACAAAATTGGCTTTCCTGTAGAAGACAGAGGATGGTGAAGGAGGGTTGTTTTACAGACTGAAGTGTTGTGGCCAGTGGTTTGCTGCAAGGATCAGTTCTGGGTCCACTGTTTCGTTATTTGTGTAAAAAATTTGGATGTGAATATAGCAGGAATGTTTATCAAGTTTATGGATGACACCAAAATTGGTGGTATAGTGGACAATGAAGAATGTTATCTAAGAGTACAGTGGTCACATGACACCAGGTTATTGTCCAACAGGCTTATTTGAAATCACAAGCTTTTGCCAGATGAAGTGGAGAGAGGTGTACAGGAACAGAATATATAGGCAGAGAAATAATGGCAAGATAACTCCAGGTAATTAAGAGTGTCAACAGATAAGTACAAATGTGACAGCAGAGTGTCAACAGGCTAAATAACAAGAGAAGGAATGGCCTATGAACCGATTAATTGAAGCAGAGAGATAATTGCAAACAATCGAAAATAAGAGTGCTGGAGACATTCCAAATGTCTGGAATAACATGGAGTAGGTATCAGTCACATGACAAGTGTCTAACCTAAGTAATCAAAAACTGTACAAACTAAGGTTGGAGATACTCGCAGGTAACAAAAGTAATGATGTCAAAACAAGGCAGTAAGGAAGATTTTACCGATACAGAACAGTGAGGTTGGGTTAAGTGTAGCGTGATATGAACCCACAATCACAATTGAGGCCACCTTCATAGGTATAGAACTTGGCTATCAGTTTCTGCTTGGCAATTCTGCATTGTCATTTGTCTTGGAGGATGCTTACCCGAAGATCAGAAGCTAAATGCCCTTGACCGCTGAAATGTTCCCCACTGGGATGAAACATCCCTGTTTGGTGATTGTTGTGCGTTGTCCATTCGTCTGTTTTTGCAGCGTCTGCATGATCTCACCGATACATCATGCCTCAAGGCATCCTTGCCTGCAGCGTATGAGGTAGACAACATTGGCCAAGTCACATGAGTACCTGCGTGTAAGTGGTGGGTGGTGTTGCCACATATTATGGTAGTGCCCATGTTGAAGATCTGGCATGTCGTCTTGTAGAGTTTGCTGTGGCAGGGTTGTGTGGTGTCCGAGTCACTATACCCAGCGTTCAGGAGAAGTTTGTTGTGAACAGTGGTCAGTTTGAGGTAAGGTAGCGGTTTGGAGGCATACAGAAGGTCTTGGTGAGATACCCGTCGTCATCAATGATGTGTTGACTGCTGTGAAGAATATGGCATAGTTTCTCTGCTCCAGGGAAATACTGGTTGATGAAGAGTACTCTATTGGTTGTACCCTATGTCTGTCTTCTGAGGAAGTCATTGTGGTTTTTCACTGTGGCAAATTGGAACTGTCCATCAATGAGTTGAGCATCATATCCCATTCTAATGATGGTGTCTTTCAGCATCTGTACAGGTCTGTTGCATTCCTCCTCATCTGAGCAGATCCTGTGCATACAAGGACTTGTCTGTAGGGATGGCTATTTTAATATGTTTAGGGTGGAAGCTAGAGAAGTGCAGCATCATGAGGTTATCCATGAGCTTGTGGTAGAGTGAGGTACCAAGGTGGCCATGGAGATGTGTGTCCAAGAATGAGACTGATTCTGAAGAGCAATCCCTAGTGAGTCTGATGGGATGAAACTTTTGATACTGCAATTTATGTCAGTTTCATTCTTGCACACACTCATCTCTATCAAGGACAGACACCTCAGTACTTCATTCCACCATAAGCCCATGGATAACCTCACTATGGGTAACCTCACTATGTTTTAGTTGTCTAGCTTCCACCCTAAATATGTTAAAGAAGCCATCCCCCTACAGACAAGCTTTGTATAGAAAAGATTTCGTCAGAGGAGGAATGTGATGGATACCTACAGACACTGAAAGACACCTTCATAAGAACAGGATACAACGCTCAACTCGTCAGACACTTGTGAGGTGCCACAGTGACAAACCACAATGACCTGCTCAGAAGACAGACACCAGATACAACTGATAGGATATCCTTGGTCATCCAGTACTTCATTGGAGTGGGGAAACTGTGGCATCCTTTATCACTGCAGCCTTCAACATATCATCATTGAGCGTCTTGCCAAGATCATCCCTACTTCTCTCCTTCAAACAGCTGCCTTACCTATAACCGACTTTTGTTCGCAGCAAACTACCCAGCCTTCAGTCGGTACCCAACTGACCACAACACGATAAACCCTGCCATGGCAACCTCTGCAAGATATGTCAAATTTTCATCATGGATACTACCATCACATGTGGGAACACTACCCACCACTTACACAACAGATAGTCATGGGAACCCGCATGGGCCCAAGCTATGCCTGCCTCTTCATAGGATACATGGAATAGTCCCTCTTCTGCTGCTACACTGGCACTATCCCCCACCTCTTCCTCCGCTACAACGATGACTGACTGGATCGGCGTTGCCTTGTGCTCCCACAAGGCGTTTGAACAGTTCTTCAACTTCAATAACACCTTTCATCCCAACCTCCAGTTCATCTGGACCATCTCTGATAGCTCCCTCTCTTTCCTGGCCCTCTGTCTCCATCTCAGGTGACCACCTCGAAACTGCCATCTATTTCAAGCCCACCGATTCCTACAGCTACCTAGACGACACCTGCTCTCACCCACCTTCCTGCATGAATGCAGAATCCCCTAGCCCCAGTTCCTCCGCCTCTGCCGTGTCTGCTCCCAAGATGGGCGTTCCACTCCGGAACATGCCAGATGTCCTCTTATTTCAAGGACTGCAACTCCTCCCCCCCGCTCCTTTCAGTGGTTGAAAATGTTCTCGACTGCATCTCTTGCATTTCCCGCACCTCTGCCCTCACATGCCCTCCCCACAAGAAAAACAAAGACAGAATCCCCCTTGTCCTCATGTATCACCCTACTAACCTCCATATCGAATGTATCATTTTCTGCCACCTACTATCCAACCCCACCCCTATCTGCCTTTCGTAGGGACCCTCTCTCTGCAACTTCCTTGTCCGCTCCACACTCCCCACTACCCCCGGCACTTTTCCCTGCAACCACAGGAAGTGCTACATCTATCCCTACACATCCCCCCTCACTTCCATTCAAGGCACCAAACAAACCTTCCACATCAGACAGAGGTTCACCTGCACATCCATCAATGTGGTCTATTGCATCTGCTGCTCCCGATGTGGCCTCCTCTACATCAGTGAAACCAAGCGGAGGCTCAGAAACCGCTTTGTAGAGCACCTGCTCTGTTCATGACAAATGATAACACCTTCTGGTCGCAAACCATTTCAACTCCCCTTCCCACTTCCTGGGTGACATGTCCATCTTGGGCCTCATTGAATGTCACAATGATGCCATCTGGCAATTGGAAGAGTAGCACTGCATTCCGCCTTGGGAGCCTACAGCCCAATGGTCTCAATGTGGATTTTACCAGTTTCAAAATCTCCCCACCCCTGGCCTCATCCCATGACCAACCCTCCCTCTCAGCCCCACCTCCTTGACCTGATACAACCTGTCCAGCTTTTCTGCCACCTATCCTCTCCTCCCACCTCACTGACCAATCCCCACCAGTACCTACATGCACTCATCTATCACCGTCCCACCTACCTCCCCCAGTCCCCCCCCCCTATTTATTTCTTAGCCCCCCTCCCCCCCCCCCCTTTCTAAAGAAGTGTACCAACCTGAAACATCAACTTTCCTGCTCCTCTGGTGCTGCCTGGCCTGCTGTGTTCCTCCAGCTCTACAGTTATCTATCTCATATGCTGCAGACAAGGATACCCCAAGGCATGCTATGTTGTCGAGACCATGCAGACACTATGATAATTCATCTTCGATCCGCTTCCCCCTCACTCCCTATTTATTTCAGAATCCCCTTCCCCTCCCCCATTTCTGAAGAAGGGTCTACACCCGAAACGTCAGCTTTCCTGCTTCTCTGATGCTGCTTGGCCTGCTGTGTTCATCCAGCTCTACTGTTACCTCAGATTCTCCAGCATCTGCAATTCCTACTATCTCTGAAACAATTTTAACCCCACTGCGAAGCCTCTTCTAAGGATGCATACCTTGAAGAAGTTACCCTCCTCCCTCCGGAAAGACCTCAGTGGATCTCTCTCCTCTCTACCTTTCTTCTCCTTTGTCCATCTTCTGTCCGCCTCCCCCTCTTTCCATATTTATTTCAGAATCCCTTTCCCCTCCCCCATTTCTGAAGAAGGGTCTAGACCCGAAACGTCAGGTTTCCTGCTCCTCTGATGCTGCTTGGCCTGCTGTGTTCATCCAGCTCTACACCTTGTTATCTCAGATTCTCCAGCATCTGCAGTTCCTACTATCTCATGATAATGGATGAACAGATACCGTGCGACAATTGCCAGACAGGAATGTTTCTTCCCAGTCAGAACACTTCAGTAGTCAAGGGCATTCAGATTCCTATCTTCTAGTAAGTAGACTTTGAGTACCTCAACGCAGAATTGCTGAGCAGAAACTGATAGCCAAGTTCTGTACCCACGAGGACGGCATCAACAGTGATCCTGGGTTCATGTTGCACTACACATAACCCCCCAAAATGTTCTGTGTCTGTAAAATCTTCCTTACCATCCTGTTTTGCCTCCATTACCTTTGTTACTTGTGATTTTCTCCTTACCTTAATTAGTTTGTACAATTTCTGATTATTTTGTTACTTTGGTTAGACCCTCGTCATGCAACTCTGATACCTACTCCCTGTTGGTCCAGTCATTTGGTTTGTCTCCAGCTCCATCTTATTTTCGGTGGGTTTTTTCTCTTTTTTTTGTAATTAATTCAGACAGTGAGATGATCAGTTAATAGATCATCCCTTCACTTGTTAATCCATTGTTGATACTTTACTCTCGTGGTTTGACACTTTTGATCACCTGCAAAGACTTGTTATTCAGTCTGACACCGCATTCACACCAATGTGCCTTAATGGTGATCACCCAGTGGCTCTGACCTCCATAATCACCAAGTGCTTGAAGAGATTGTTCATGGCCCACATCAACTCTAGCCTCCCAGCCTACCTCAATCCCCTGTTATTTGTCTACCAACATAACAGGTTCACAGCGGATGCCATTTCCCAAGCCCTGCACTTTTCCCTGGAACATCTAGAAAATGAGGACATCCATGTCAGACTCCTACTTATGGACTACAGCTCCATCTTCAACACAATAACCCGCTCCAGACTAATATCAAGACTCCAAACCGAGGTCTTGACTCCACCTTCTGCAACTGAATCCTCAGCTTCTTAACCCATAGACCAAAATCAGTGAAGACTGGAGAACTGCATCTCCTCCACAACAATCCTCAATGCTGGCACCCCTCCAGGATGCATTCTCAACCCCCTCCTGTTCCCCCTGTACAACCATGACTGTGTAGCCAAATTCCAAGTGAATGCCATCTGCAAGTTTGCTGATAACATGTTGGTGTCAGACTGGATATCAAACAACGATGAGTCAGAATGCAGAAAGGAGAGAGGGCTTGGTGTGATGGTGAAATGATAACAAGCCTTCACTGTCAGCAAAACAAAAGAACTGATCATTCCTATCAGGAAGAAAGGTGGAGAGCGTGCTCCCATCCACATCAAAGGAGCTGAGCTGGAGACGTTTGAGAGCATCACGTTCTTCGGAGTAACGATAACCAACAATCTGTCCTGGACTTACCATGTTGTTATGGCAGTCAAGAAGGCACAACAACACCTCTTCTTCCTCATGGAGCTTAGGAAATTTGGCAGGGCCATGAGGACCCTCTCCAACTTCTATAAATGCATCATAGAAAGCATTCTATCCAGGTGCATAACAGCCTAGTACAGCAACTGCTCTGCTTAGGACTGTAAAAAAGACTACAGAAGGTTGTGTACATAGCCCAGACCATCACAGAAGCCAACCTCCCATCCATGGACTCCAGTTACATGGCTCTCTGCTTCAGAAAGGCTGCCAATATCATCACAGACCCTTTCCACCCTGCTAATGCTCTCCTACAACCTCTTCCATCAGGAAGAAGATACCGGAGCTTAAACACATGCACCAACAGGTTCAAGAACAGCTTCTTTCCTGCTATTATTTGACAGATGCATGGACTGTGTAACTTCAAATAAAGTTGGTCTTGATAATGTTGATCTTGCCTAGCGCACCTCCTGTGCAGTGTAACCTGTGTGCCTCATTCTGTCTGAGCACCCTATGTTCTGCATGTCCTCATTTGCAATGATCTACCTGTACTGCTCGCACCTAAGCTCTTCACTGTACTTAGGTACATGTGACAATAAATCAAATCAAATATTTGTGCTTATTGATTGCCACTCTTAATTATCTTGCCATTATTTCTCTGCCTACATATTCTGTGCTGAGTGCCTCTCCACTTCATCTGCCAAAGGAGTAGTGTTCTGAAAGATTGTGATTTTAAATAAACCTGTTAGACTATAACCTGGTGTCGTGTGACTTCGAACTTTGTCTACCCCAGTCCAACACCGGCATCTCCACATCAAGAATACAACACGATCTTGATCAACAAGGCAAGCAGGCTGCAGAATGGCAGATGGAGTTTAATTTAGAAAAGTGCAAGGTGTTGCATTTTGGTAACATAAACCAGGGTGGGACTTACTCAGTTAATGATAGGGCCCTGGGGAGTGTTGTCAAGCAAAGAGAGGTAGGGATTCAGTTACATAGTTCCTTTGAAAGTGGCATCACAGGTAGACAGGGTCATGAAGAAAGCATTTAGCATGCTTGCCTTATTTGGCCAGACCATTAAGTGCAGGATAAAAACCGAAAGAACTGCAGATGCTGTAAATCAGGAACAAAAGCAAAGTTGCTTGAAAAGCCCAGCTGGTCTGGCAGCATCTGTGAAGGAAAAAACACAGTTAACGTTTCGGGTCCGGTGACTCTTCCTCAGAACTGACCTGAGGAAGGGTCACTGGACCCGGAACGTTAACTCTGTTTTTTCCTTCACGGATGCTGCCAGACCTGCTGGGCTTTTCCAGCAACTTTGTTTTTGTTCCATTAAGTACAGGAGTTGGGACGGCATGGTATGGCTGTACAAGATATTCATAAGGCCACATTTGGAGTATTGCATATAATTCAGATAGGATATTATTAAACTGGAAAGGGTGCCCAAAATATTCATAAGGGTATTACTGAGACTGGATGGTTTGAGACGTAAAGAGAGGCTGAATAAGCTGGGACACTTTTCCCTGGAGCTTCGGATTCAGCCGCCAATGGGGTGACCATTTAGATAGGGTAAATAGCCAAGTTCTTTTCCACAGTTGTAGGGGGGTCCAAAGCTAGAGGGCAAAGCTTTTGAGGTGGGAGGGGAAAGATTTTAAAGGGACCTAAGGGGCAAGCTTTTCACATGGAGGGTGGTGGGTGCATGGAATGAGCTGTCATAGCGAAACAAAGAACAAAGAAATTTACAGTATAGGAACAGGCTCTTTGGCCCTCCAAGCCTACAACGACATGCTGCCCATCATAACTAAAACCCCCTACCTTTCTGGGAACCGTATCCCTCTATTCCCATCCTATTCATATATTTGTCAAGACGCCCTTTAAAAGTCACAATAGTATCTGCTTCCACTATCTCCCCCGGCAGCGAGTTCCAGGCACCCACAACCCTCTGTGTAAAAAACTTGCCTCGTACATCACCTTTAAACCTTGCCCCTTGCACCTTAAACCAATGGCCCCTGGTAAGTGACTCCTCCACCCTGGGATAAAGCTTCTGACTGTCCAGTCTGTCCATGCCCTTCATTATCTTGAAGAGCTCTATCAGGTCGCCCCTTAACCTCCGTCGTTCCAGTGAGAACAACCCAAGTTTTTCTAACCTCTCCTCATAGCTAATGTCCTCCATAGCAGGCAACATTGTGGTAAATCTTTTGTGCACCCTCTCCAAAGCCACCACATCCTTCTGGTAATGTGGCGACCAGAATTGAATACAATATTCCAAATGTGGCCAAACTAAGGTTCTGTAAAGCTGCACCATTACCTGCCAATTTTTAAACTCAATGTCCCGACCGATGAAGGCAAGCATGCCACATGCCTTGTTGACTACCCTTTCTACCTGCATTGCCACTTTCAGTGACCTGTGTGCCTGTACACCCAGATCCCTCTGCCTATCAGTACTCTTAAGGGTTCTGCCATTTACAGTATATTTTCGATCTGGATTAGACCTTCCAGAATGCATTACTTCACATTTTTCCGGATTAAACTTCATCTGCCATCTCTCTGCCCAAGCCACCAACCGATCTATATCCAGCTGTATCCTTTGACGGTCCTCATCGCTTTCTGCAATTCCACCAACCTTTGTGTCATCCGAAAACTTACTAATCAAACCAGTTACATTCTCCTCCAAATCATTTATATATATTATAAATAGCAAAGGTCCCAACACTGATCCCTGAGGAATGCCACTAGTCACAGCCCTCTATTCAGAAACACACCCTTCCACTGCTCTCCTCTGTCTTCTATGACCGAGCCAGTTTTTTATCCATCTTGCAAGCTCACCTCTGACCCAATGCGACTTTACCTTCTGCCATGAGGGACTTTGTCAAAGGCCTCACTGAAGTCCATGTAGACAACCCTCAGCCCTACCCTCATCGATCATCTTTGTCACTTCCTCAAAAAACTCAACCAAGTTAGTGAGACACGACCTCCCCTTCACAAAACCATGTTGCCTCTCACTAATACATCCATTAATTTCTAGGTGAGAGTAAATCCTGTCTTGAAGAATCCTCTCCAATAATTTCCTTACTTACAGGCCTGTAATTAGCTGGATTATCCCTGCCACCTTTCTTAAACAAAGGAACAACATTGGCTATTCTCCAATCCTCTGGGACCTCCCCTGTAGCCAGTGAGGATGCAAAGATTTCCCTCAAGACCCCAGCAATTTCCTCCCTTGCCTCTGTCAGTATTCTGGGGTATATCGCATCAGGCCCTGGGGACTTGTTTACCTTAATGTTCTTCAAGACTCTCAATTCCACCTCCCTTTTGATCTCAACATGACCCAAAATATCTACACACCCTTCCCCAGACTCATCATCCACCAAGTCCTTCTCTATGGTGAATACTGACGCAAAGTACTCATTTAATACCTGGCCCATTTCCTCTAGCTTCACACATAAATTCCCTCCCCTGTCCTTGAGTGGGCCAACCCTCTGCCTGGCTACCCTCTTACTCTTTATATATGTATAAAAAGCCTTGGGATTTTCCTTAATCCTGTTGGCCAATGACTTTTCATGACTCCTTTTAGCTCTCCTAACTCCTTGCTTAAGTTTCTTTTGACTTTCCTTGTATTCCACCCCTGCTTCATTTGTTCCCAGCCTCCTAGCCTTGATAAATGCTTCCTTTTTCTTTTTGATTACGCTCACAATATCTCTCATTATCCAAGGTTCCCTAAACTTGCCATACTTATCCTTCATCCTTAAAGGAACATGCCGGTCCTGACTTCCGAGCAACTTATACTTGAAAGTCTCCCACATACCATATGTTGATTTGCCCTCAAACATCTGCCTCCAATCTACGTTCTTCAGTTCCTGCCTAATATTGTTGTAATTAACCTTCCCCCAATTTAGCATCTTTACCTGACAACTACACTGATCTTTATCCATCAGTACCTTGAAGCTTACTGAATTGTGATCACTGTTCCCGAGTTGCTCCCCTACTGAAGCGTCTACCACCTGGCCAGGCTCATTCCCCAATACTAGGTCCAGTACGGCCCCTTTCCTCGGTGGGCTATCTACATACTGCTTCAAGAAGCCCTCCTGGATGCTCCTTACAAACTCTGCCCCACCCGAGCCCCAAGCACTAAATGAGTCCCAGTCAATATATGGGAAGTTAAAATCACCCACAACAGCAACCCTGTTACTTTTACATCTTGCCAAAATCTGCCTACATATCTGTTCTTCTATCTCCTGCTGGCTGTTGGGAGGCCTATAGTAAAGCCCAAACATTATGACTGCACCCTTCCTGTTCCTGAGCTCTACCCACAATTCCTTGCTGTATGAGCCATCCGAGTTGTCCTCCCACAGTACAGCTGTGATATTCTCCGTAACAAGTGGTGTAACTCCCCCAACTCTTTTATATCCCCCTCTATCCTGTCTGAAACATCTGTATCCTGGAACATTGAGCTGCCAATCCTGTCCCTCCCTTAACCAAGTCTCTGTAATAGCAACAACATCGTAGTCCCAAGTACTAACCCAAGCTCTAAATTCATCTGCCTTACCTGTTACACTTCTTGCATTGGAACATTGATAATGTCCTGGGACATGGGTTTGAATCCCGCCACAGCAGATGGTAGAATTTGAATTCAATAAATATCTGGAATTAAGAATCGAATGATGACTGCGAATCCGTTGTTGATTGTCGGATAAACCTGTCTAGTTCACTGATGTCCTTAAGAGAAGGAAACTGCCACCGTTACCTGGTCTGGCTTACATGTGACTCCAGACCCACAGCAATGTGGTTGACTCTTAACTGCCCTCTGGGCAATTAGGGATGGGCAATAAATGCTGCCTGGTCAGCGACACCAACATCTCATGAATGAATAAAAAAAAAGAAACCGATGCACTTCAGTCCACCAGACCCGCTTTGATCAGCAACTGCACCCTGCCTGCTCTTCCTCTGACTCTTAGTGGCCATATTCTCTAGTTCCCTTTCAGTCCATTCACCTTTGCTTTGGTTCCCACCGCCCCCTGCCAAGCTCGTTTAAATCCTCCAGAGTGACACCAGCAAACCTGCCCGCCAGAATATTTTTGTCCAATGTGTACAGGAGGGTTTCCTGACACAGCATGTAGATAGGCCAACAAGAGGCGAGGCCACATTGGATTTGGTACTGGGTAATGAACCAGGCCAGGTGTTAGATTTGGAGGTAGGTGAGCACTTTGGTGATAGTGACCACAATTTGGTTAGGTATACTTTAGCGATGGAAAGGGATAGGTATATACTGCAGAGCAAGAGTTATAGCTGGGGGAAAGGCAATTATGAGGCGATTAGGCAAGATTTAGGATGCATAGGATGGAGAAGGAAACTGCAGGGGCTGGGCACACTTGAAATGTGGGGCGTGTTCAAGTAACAGCTACTGCGTGTCCTTGAGAAGTATGTACCTGTCAGGCAGGGAGGAAGTGGTCGAGCGAGGGAACCGTGGTTTACTAAAGAAGT